CACTCATACACATAAAATAATAATGAAAAATACTACGAATTAATCCAGGCATGGTGGGTTATACCTATAACCTCAGCACTTGGGACGCAGAGGAAGAGAATCATTATAAATTTGAGAATAGTTTGATCCACATAGGGAAGCTCTGTCTCAAACCCCCAAACCCCAAACCAATTTAAAAAATAGTATACAATTATTTCTAAACAATTTTTTTTTTCTTTTTAGCTAAGGTTTCATTACACAGTTCAGGTTGGCCTAGAACCATCTGTATAGCCCAGGTTGACCTTGAACTTAGAGTCCTTCAATCTAAGCCTTGAGTGCTAGACATTATAGATGGGTACCACTATATCTGGCTTTAGAGTAAATATTTAAACAATAACGTTAAACTTTTCGAATCAGCCACATAACTATAGATTCTAGATGAACTACAATTCACAAAAAAAAATGATCTACAGCTTATTCTAACAATCTTTAAAAAAATTTATTTATTTTAGTGTGTGCTTGGATGTGCTTGCCATGACACACATGTGGTCAGAGAACAGCTTTCAAAAATCAATTATCTCCTGCCACCTTGTGGGATCCCAGAATTGAATTCCAGATGTCAGGTCTGTGTGCTAGTGCTTGTACCCAGTGAGCCACCTCACCGGCCCCAGACTTTATTCTAACAAAGGTTCAACAAGGTCCTTAAGTGAAATGGCTGCAATAGGACATATATAATCTCTGACCAAATTATTAGAACGAACAGATACACGAGCAGACACACAGTGTTTTACATTTTAATAGCCTTCTTCTAAAAGATCATATTCAGCTTTAGTGCTCAATTTTGAGAGAAACTAACAAATTGGAAATGTTTGGACAGCAACAGGAATAACAAATATCTTGAAGGATAAAATGAGTTGGAATGCTGGCTTGGAAAGAGGACAAGGGGTGAGTTAAGTGATCGTTAAACGGTTAGATGGCCACTGCTTTACACTAGAGAGCAAGGTAGGAGATTTACACTAGAGAGCAAGGTAGGAGATACCAAGACAAAAATGCTACCTTAATAAAGAACTGTGTGACAGAACTGCTAAAGCAGTACCTGTTCTGTAAGTCCTGTAAGCTCAAAAGTAGAAGGTAAAATATGTTACTAAGCAGTACTTGAGGTAGGTTAAACTTCATGTAGAACTTAAGAAAGCTCTTTCAAATTTAAGATGTACACGGAGTAATCAGAAATCATACGTGGCTGAAGCAGACAGCAGAGAAAGAAAAGGAAAGAAAGTGAAAAACTATGAAAAACACAGCTGTGATCACAGATGCATATAAGGTGTTTTGATCAAATCCACGCCCACTCCCTCCCCTCCAATTCCTCCCATATCTCCCCATCACTTTTTTCTGATAACTTCATGTACTCTTTCTTCTTCTTTGATTTATTGATTTATTTTTTTTTATGGGGCTTTTGGTTACTCTAACAGTGCCCTCTCTGAAGAGGTAACCCTAAAATCTTTTAAGGATTAGATAAAAACTCCCAAATATTTTTGACATTTTTGGCCTTTGGAACAGAGTATGTTGCTAAGAGGCCCAAGGACATTGTGAGTTTTAGCTAAGAAACTGGCTACTTTTCTTTGGGGTCTTTTTACCCTGACTGCCTAGTCAATTCCTACCTCGCAAGTCAATGTTCCTAATCCCTAACACCAACGCAAAGCAAACAAAAGCCTGCTTTCTCCTCCCTTCTCTCCTCCTGCAGATTTCTTTCTTCACCCATCAGCTCCCACTATCTTTAACATTTTGTTGTACTGTGATAAAATTTTTAATTGATGAATCAATTCAGACAAACTATTATTAAGTAAGCCCACATTTGACATAGGGTTCATTATATTGTAGATGTTACAGTGGAGAATTTAAAAAAAATTGTGGTTGAACACACATGACATGGCATTTGCCACCTTCACCTTTTAAAATACAAAATGTATTCATTGTTAAGCAATCTTCTGAATTATCTTCATGTTACAAAACAAACTCTGTAACCATTAAACGTAATAATTTTTAACATACTACTAGACAACCACCACAAATATTGTTAAATTATTTTTATTTTTATTTTTTATGCATAAAAGTGTATTGCCTGCATGATGGAAGTGCACTCATGTTGTGCAATGCCCACAGAGGTCAAAAGAGGTTGTCAGATCCCCTGGAACTGGAGTTACAGACAGTGTTAGTTGCCTTGTGGGTTTGAGAACCTAACCAGGGTCCTCTGCAGGAGCAGCCAGTGCTCTTAACTGTTGAGCTACCTCTCCAGTTCATACTACAAATATTTTTAAACTCTAATGTTTTCACATAATCTCTTTCTCAATTTTCCCTATAATCTAAAATTCTACTTTATCATAATATATCAAATCATCATAAAAATTTTAGTTTTAATATCAAAAGTACATATTCACCCAAAACACCATTTATTTTGTGCTCCCATAAGGGAATGGAATATAACTAAGAAACTGGTTCAATTCTTTTAAATCAATTTGACATTCACAATACTATGTTTAACTTTATCAAAACATTGTGTTACATTTCTAAATACCACAAAAGAATATTCAAAATGAAAGGCTTTACCAAATTTTTATTTGTGGGAAGGAAAGAGGAAACTGGAAAAAAAAAAAAAGGTCTAGTAAAGGTCTAGTGAGCTGTTGACAGCAAATACAGAAACTACCTGCAGGTGCCACAGTTTATTCTGTATCATCCTGAAAGTGAGGGCTTTTCCTGTGAGAATGAAATCCACCCAATCTGATCATCATACACTGTACACACTGCACCTCACAAATATGTACAACTGCTATGTGTTGATTAGAAATAAAAATACATTTAAGGGCCAGGTGTGGTGGCACACGCTTTTAATCCCAGCACTCGGGAGGCAGAGGCAGGCAGATCTCTGTGAGTTCAAGGCCAGCCTGGTCTACAAAGTGAGTTCCAGGACAGCTGGGGCTACAGGAAGACCCTGTCTCAAAAAGACAAAAAAAAAAAAAAATTAAATAAAAGAATAAAATCTGGGGCTGGAGAGATGGCTCAGTGGTTAAGAACACTGGTTGTTCTTCCAGGCCCAGGGGATCCGACAGCCTCTTCTGATCTCCAGGGGCATTGCATGACATGGGTGCACTTGCCTACATACAGGCAATACACGCATACACATAAAATTAAAAAAATAAGTAAATTTTTTTAAAAGTTAAAAAAAAGAATAAAATCCAGCTCATACTGAACAATTAGTTAAAAGCCTTCATTAGAATTTTGTTTTACAAATATTTTTGAAATCTTTAATCACCCCAGTCCCGGGTTTCTCTCTCTTTAGGCTAATTCTCCATTACAAAATACACTTATCCCTTCTTTTCTAAGTTTCAGTCACTTCCCTGGTCTAACCCCTACTCATACAATCTCTCTCAATGTTCAATCTAAAATACAAAGGATTAGTATAAGAAGCCCCATCAGCCTCTCCAGCTACTATAGCTTCAAAAAAGAAAAACTGACTCAGTGGCAGAGCACTTACCTAGCAGAGGCCTGGGTTCAATTCCCACAAATGCAAAGACAGCAAAACCAAAGAAACAACAAAACTGGGGGTGGCATTGCAGGCCTGTGATCCCAGTTCCTCACTGAAAGTTCAAGGTCTACCTGGGCTACAGAGTGTGTTTCAGTCTGGGCAGCTTGGAGAGACCTCAGAATGAAGAGCAGAAAGGGTCAGGGGCACCGCTCAACAGTAAAGCACTTACCTCGCTTGTGTGAGGCTCTAGGTTCAATCCTCGGTATCATAAAAACAAAGTAAAACATAACACAACCTCACTCTCATTATTTAACCTTCCTGTGCCTAAGTTTACTCATTTGCAAACTAAGAATTAAAAAAAAAAAGACCAGACGATACAATCATGTATCTAGCACTTAGCAGATGATAAAATGAATGAAAGAATAACTCATAAAATTGTTCAGCATTACCTAAGTGTGTATGTGAAGGACTTAGCACACTAAAAAGCTAACCCTAACCCTAGGTTAGGTGCACTAAAGCTCATATTAAATGGGATTACTGTCCTCACCAAAACCTTAAGTGTGCCTCCATTTCCCACAGAGTCCAACTAAAAACATTTTTATCTCATTTTCCGAAGAAGCCTGTGGTTATTGATTTGGTCTTACTTTTTCACACCAATTTCATCTCCCTCTAAAATGAAACCAATGCCTTCTCTCTTCCACAGAGGCCCAGCCTAGCTCTAAGGTTTGGGACTCCTGCTTCCTAACTACCCTCTCACTGGAACATCTTTTATCTTTCTTTGTCCAGCTAGATAACACAGCCCTCAGCTCCTATATCTCACAGAGCCCAGGAAACACTTTCTAATCACTCCAGCTTTTATCTGCTCCTCCCTTTCTTTAGAGCCCCATCTTCATTTACCTCATAGTATCTATGGCCACCTAGGCTTTTTAGGGATCAGTAACTTACACGACACTCTCACTTTCATTTCCCTAGCTATCCTCAAAGCCAGTACAAACTGGCTGATCTAAAAGATAACAAAACAAGCTAACACAAGTGGCTAGGTGCTCTGCACCAACTGGTTTTTTCTAGATAAGATTATAAGTGATACTTTCTTTTTCATTATTTCTTATAGTTTTCAAATTTTAAATAAAGTTATCTGGTATTCTATGACTCAGAAATCTTATAATAGAATTTTTATAGATCCTAAGGTCCTAAAATACCTTCTAGATTATAGATGAATAAAAGAATACATAAATAAATGTCAGTGAAATATTAAGGACTATTTATTTTCTGCATTTATAGTTTTTGTTTTTTTAAAATTCAGTGGTTCACATACGATACTCAAATTAACCCTATTATTCAATGTGTCCAGTGTTTTCTAAGTTTACTACTCAGTGTTCTCCAATGGCCGCCATTTTCATAACTTTATAGTTAAAACACATAACTTTCTATTGTAAAAGTGACACTATTAATTTATTTAAATATATGTAAAACACCAAATATAATTTTGAAATATTCTTACCTAATCCTTTTTGTCCTGGATTCTTTGCAAAATTAAAAGTAAACTGGTAAAAATCCTTAAATCGTCCTGGTTCTTTCAATTCTTGCTCCATCTTGGGTATTTGGGCCTTTAGTTTTTCTATGCTGTCACATCTACATTATAAAATTAAGTTTATAAATGGTTAACTTTTCACTATAAATTTAAAAGCTTAACTTAATTATTCTTATGAGGGTTTATATTTTTTTCCTAGAACTCATTTTTAAAAAATCAAATAGTTGGGATTTCATTTTTTACATTCTATGAAGATGGTAGTCTCCCCTTAGCCACAGGGGATACAAGACCCCAGGTGATGCCTGAAACTCTAAAGAGCACCAAGCCCAAGATATATGCTTTTCCCTATACATAGATATCTGTGATACAAAGTTTAAAATATGAATGACACACAGCAAGAGGTTCACAGTAACTAATACTAAGACAATGACATGGGAATAACTTTGTACATAATTATGTGTATGTGGTTTCTCTTCACTTAAATGGACACTTCTTTGGCACATCACTACTCTTGCATGTTTGGGCCATTATAAAATAAGGCCACTTGAACACAAGCACTAGGATAACAACATCTACTGGATAACTGAGAACGGCACTAAGCAACTATTAGGCAGGCAGTATATAAAGAGTTATGAGCTGGACAAAGGGAAGACTCACATCCCCAGCAGGGCAGAAAAGGACAGTATGAAATCTCACCACTCTACTCAGAATGATGCACAACTTAAAGCTTATGAATTTTACAAAAAAATTTTCAACTAATAATTTGGGAACACAGTTGCTCATTCGTCACTAAAACCTCAAAAAGCAAAACTATGACTTTTGTCAAGAGTTAGTTTAGAGAAGATGAGGTCTAGAGATACAAAATTGTTAAAATTTTGACTTTTAAAAGAAACTGGCTATTCCTTTTAAATACATAATTCATTGAACTATCAGGACATTGACTTGCAGAGTCCATTTCTGCTGTAGTGAATAGATAAGAATGTACCATCATCATTACAACCATCAGTATGGACTGTGCGAGGCACTGTCAGCATGGTAATTAATCATGTCTCACTCCCAAACTAACTAGAAAGCAAGGTCTTTTGTTTAAATGAGGGAGTATTCTTCCTGAAAACTTGCTTTTTAATAAATACCAGCTACACCTCTACCCTCCAACCAAATTATCTCAAGTTAATATTAGTTTTTTTCTACATTTACAAAACGTTCAACTTGCAAAGAGCTGAAAAGTTCCATGTGTCAAACATTACTTTCCTTTTAATAATGGCCGTAGGACAGAAATGTCCCATTTCTTAAAGATTCCATAATCAAATCAACCCACTGTCTTTTAAACATTTTTGCTTTAATTCTCTCTATATTCTTTATAACACTTTATAGAACAGTTTGTAAACTAAAAATTTCATTTGCAAGTTTGTCACATTTTTCAATGAGTTTCATCGCAAATGAAAACTACAATTTTTCTCCATAAATTCTAGTGAAACTTGTACCTTGACAGAAAATCCCTGCAAGTTCATGATGGGGCTGGCTTCACTATCAGCCAGGGTCTGGGCAAGCTATTAATTTATTTACTTATGGTGTTAAGCCCACTCTTCTCTGCCCTACTCTGCAGGGTCAGCCACAAATCATGAGACGTCATTTCTCTTGCCAGCTCACTCAACGTCAGGGTCTACTGACAAAGCTAGAAAAGGCCAGGGTAGGAAGAAGTGTTACCCAGGTTGTTGTCAAAAATGGTCTGAGAGTGTGGCAAGGTCCCAGCAGTGTCAACCAGTAGTAACTCTTAAGGCAGCCCACTCAGTGGCATCCAACCAGATTTCTGGAGTGTGCATCCTGTTCCTACAGCCTGCTCCCTTCCTCAGAAACTGAATTTTGTCTTGGCTGGTTCACTTCATTCAGGGGTGGCAACAAGCTATTGCTACAACTTTTACACCTTAGGGTTTTCTTTTCTGTAGTAAAATACTTCTTTAAATTTTCCCTGGTCAAATTACTGCTATGGCTTGTGTCTTGACTGGACCCTGCTTTAGGATGTTCCTCAGACTCAGTAAGCAGAATCCTGGTTTCAGTCCTGACCCAAAATATCACCTGGTTTCATAATTCCTTGTGTGTCAGAAGACTACTTCCCTCACAAAAGGGGTTATAAAGAGGTAGGCGAGGCTTGGAGAATGGTTATTGGAATGAAGCAATGCTTGAATGACATCAGTTTATTTTTTTTTATTTTTGAGACAGGGTCTCACTCTGTAGCCCAGGCTAGCCTTGAACTCTATACAGTTGAGGATGGCCTTAACTCCTGATCCTCTTGCCTCTGCATCTTGAGTGCTAGGATTCCAGGAGTGCTTACCTTGCCCCGCCTTCAAACTATGTCTGTAGTCCCATCAAACACGAACAACTTGATTTAGTAAGCAAAACCTCTCCCCATGACTTTGCAATCTACTTATCCAAACACATTCAGCTAAACCATCTGTTAAGGCTTTAAGCAGAATGAAAAGCATTTAGTAACTTCTAAGATACCTTCCAATCTTTAAATTCTAGCATTTCATAAATTTACAGTACATACTTTACTTGTTCATTTCACTTTTCTATGTTAAATATTAATGGTCAATAATTTTAATACTAGTGACCCTTTCCTAGGAACAAATGATAAAAGAATAATGCAAACAGAGTAGGCTACAATAATTATACAGATACTTGGTAAGGCCAGAACCTGTCTAACCTGGGAACTAACACACTAACTCACTTGTATTTATACTGTTCGTGGGCTAGTACAAATTTAAATTTCCATTGAAGAACAGATGGCATAATTGAGCCATGAAACTCTCAGAGCATAATGTCTCATCTCCTATGGAGGTTATACTCACCCTAATTCTGTCATGCCATCCATAAACTCCTGTTTGGAGAACTCGCACTGCGTTGCTGCTCTGAACTTCCATGCAATGATCAACACACTAATGCTGGCTGGATCGAGGGCCAGGTCATCACAGAACTGCTGGATACCATCTATTCCAATTTTATTTTCATCTTGAGGATCTTTGAAAATAGTAATATGATACGAAATTAATGCCATACTTTATTATACTACATTCATAGAACTAAAAAAGGAAATGCTTTCTTTTTCATTTTAAAACAGATCACAGTATGTCAAAGACATGAAGCAGTATTAGTCTTTTAAAATTTTATTCTTATATGTGTGAGTGTATTGCCTGCATGTGTATAAGGGCACCCGTGTCATGTAATGCCTATGGAGGTCAGAATAGGGTGTAGGATCCCCTGGAACTGGAATTAGGGATGGTTGTTAGCCAGCATGTGGTGCTGGGATTTGAACCTGGGTCCTCTGTAAGAGCAGTTGGTGCTCTTAACCGCTGAAGCAGTATTACTTTAACAAGTGTTTCCACAAATAGCTTAAGCCACTTTGCCCTCTAAATAGCACTATTAAAGTATACAGATAAGTAGATGGGCCTTTATTTTTTTTAAGTATCACCTATTCACGTGCAAAATGTTCCATACTTATATACATTCGAAAACCAGACATGCCTATACAGGGACAAGGGAGTTTGTCAACATACTCAAACTGTATTTAAATAGGCATTGAAAATTAACAGTATTAAATACAGAAATTATTTTTTTCTTAAAACAAAGTTCATTTTGCAAAAACAATCACTTTTTGAGTAATGATTAAATATTTTATCTCAACAATATGTCTGTTGTGTAAAGCAGGAAAAAAACTGAAATAATAACAAATACAAAGAAAAAGAGGCACTCCTCTACTGCTACCAAATATGATTTGCTAACAAATCTAAAAGCAATTTGGCAACAACACTAGCAATAGGAAAATGCATACCAGGCTGGGAGGGGCAGTTCAGTGGTAGAACGCCTGCCTAGCACGCATGATGCCTTAAACTCTGTGTTCACTCCCCACCATCATCAAAAAAGAAACAAAACAAAAACAAAAACATAAAAGACATGAAAGTGTCCATACCAGGCTATTAAATACTAGTTACTTCAGAGAATAAGGGTAAAGAAACTATCCATTTACTTATTTATTGTATCTTTCCTTTGTTTTCTTCCCTTTTTTGAGATGGTCTTACAATATAAACTAACCTTTAACTGTTACCTCCTTAGCCTTTGGATTACAGGTTTGCACAACCTGCCCAGCTGTTTAACACACACACACACACACACACACACACACACACACACACACTTAAATTTTTTATTGCACATTTTTTTCATTTTTTATTTGGATTTTTAATTTTTGCACATTTCATGCAATATATTTTGATCACATTTAGGTGCCTCTATATGCAACCCCTTATTCCATGCCCCAAATTTCCTGTACTATAAGATAAAGGCCCACAGTGCCAGGTTTGTGTTACCAAGAGTTTCACCCTTAAGCAAGACTGACTCTTCCCATTCCCAGCAGCTGTTGGTTGCCAATAGTTCCTTACATTGGGTTGGGGCTTCTTATCCACATCCCCATGTCTATGCTGGGATTTTGTCTGGCTTGAGCTTACTTGGGACTTGCATAAGCTGTCACCATTGCTGTGAGTTCATATGAGTACTGTCCAGTTGTCTGGAAAGCTCTGTTTCCTTGTGGTCATCCACCACCTCTGGCTCTTAAACCCCCTCCTCTTTAACATTTCTAAAGCAAGTGCTACTTTATAATTCATTTAAAAAGATGTTATGCAAGTTATTTCTTAAAATCTCGTTCAGCTGAGTTTTATAAACATGAAGGGAGAAAAACTGTCTCTAATCTCCCAATTCTCAAACTAGATAATGGAAGGGGAAAAAAGACACTACACAGGCCAAGAAGAAATTCAGTGAACAGGGAGAATGATTTCCAGGCTCTAACTTCTAAGATCTACAGTAACTCTGCTGGACACACCCAACTCCATAATCCATGAAGTTGATTTCTTAACAAGCCCATAACTTTGGAAAACCCTTAAATCATAAAACACTCACCTTTGTATCTACTGTATAGTTGTTCTAACTTCTTTCTATCCAACGATCCTTTTACACTCTCTCGTATATAAAGTTCAGGATTTTGAAAAAAATTATCTGTTGCAACATCTAACTTCCAGTCATTTTGAGAAAGACAACTTACTGCAGTTTTTTCACTAGATTGTGTGAAGATCATAAACTGACGAACTTTATCCTTCTGCGATGATTTCAACTTGTTCTATGAAAACCAGAAAATATGTGTAAAATCACACATAACTACATATTTCTAATATAGCTAAGTGACTGGCATTAGTAATAGTTTTCCTCATAAAATACAAAATTTTTTTGATTAAGACTTATTTGAGATCTATCATTAATTAGAAGACAATTTAAAAGATCTGAAACACAAAGTTTGGTATAGTTTTGAAAAAGCAACCAGTATGGAGAGAAGAGACGCTCAGCCTCTCTGCATCATCAGGAGTGGAGGGTAGAGACAGGCTCTGGGGGAAGAGCGTGGCCACTCTCAGGTGACCTTGTGACCAAGCAAGGGGTGCACACACACACACACACACACACACACACACACACACACACCCAGACCCCCCACACACACACCCACAGACACACACACACACACACACACACACACACACACACAGAGCCTTTCAGCCAACAAGTCAAACAGTCCTAGGGAAGGTGTGATGAACAGGTGTTGGCAACAGTCCTAGTACCAGTTTAGTACTACATGCCTGGGTTCCTGCCATTTCTACCAAATGGAAGAAGGTGATAAGCTAGGAACGCCCTGCATGGGATATGACCATTCTGGGTGGTATTCAGGAACTTCATTAATTAGAAGTTCCTCACATTTTCATTCAAATAAGAAGCATCTTTCCTACTTGGATACTTTAAAATTAAAAAAAAAAAATTCTCCTGGTGTCAAAGACTGGATTCTCCCCTCTCACCAAGTTGGCCTCTAATACAAACCCCACTGTATTCTTTCCCCTCAAAGTCCCAATACTGTCTTCTCAGCAAAATACTCAGGTTCTTCTAATGCTACAATGAAAATGAAGGGGGTGTGTGGGGGGAGGGTCACTTGAACTGGGAACATATTAATAGAAACAGTATTCTGTAGTTTAAGCAACACATCTAAGAATCTCTAAATCTCTGATCTGGCCCAAACTGACAGATCACAAACCTCTGAGTGACTAAACACATGAGAAACCAAACCCAGGAGTCTAAGCCATTTTGTTCACAAAAATAACACCAGCCTGTTTAACAGGATTGAGAGAAGAACAAAAGTAGCCTCAAAATCTGAGTGCTAGCAATTTTCCACGAGCCTCACTGCCTCCTGGGACATATTTATAAAATTTCTGAGAGTCTCAGAAAAAAGACCATCAAAGATGCAAATATTACCACAATCACAGAATGAAAAGGTTGCAAAAATCAAGTATGAAAATTAACCCCATCTCTTAGAGTATGAAATACATTTATGCCCAGGGTCTGGTCTATCATACTCTCCTGTCTATCTGCAAATGTTACTGTATGAAGTTACAGGTTACGGCCTCAACCACTAAAACAGAGACTATAAAAAATACAGTAACCTGTACTTCACTAACTATCCCACTACCACTTCTGCATACCATGTAAGTCATATTCCATTATATGACATACCTCTCAAAGACCCACGATTTTTTTTCTCCTTGAAATGTATTATCTAACAATGAAATCAACCAAGAAAGTAATTTGAATTCCTGAAAGTTAATTAACTGAAAGTAAACAAGAAGCTCATTTTGATTTCAAACTTAAAAATTATTCTGAAACATAGCATACATTTCTCCTTTGAACCACAGGGTATCTGATGTGTTTATATTTCTTTACAGTACCTGAGGGTCATTATGATCACCAGAGCCCACTGTACAATGTAGGAAGTGAAGCTGGAAGTGTATAAACCACAGGCCACACTCTGTAAACTCTTTTTAATTAAACCTGATAGAACTTCAAGCATACCTATCCCACTATTCTCCTAAAAACTGGAGGCAGCAAAAGAATCTGGCTTATATGAGGCTTTAATCACACAATAGTGAATCCAGTGCACTGTTCCCTGAAGTTTTAATCATCTTTATTAAAGACAAGAACTTAAAAAAAACATAGCTTAAATCACTCCTACAAGCCAAAAAGAACTGTTCACTGTATTAATGTCTTCCTGCCAGAAAGCAAGATCTTAGAGAATGGTATAAAGATAAAGACTGTATTACCCAAATAGCATTACACAAATCAACTATTTAGTTCCATATGTCATAAAACTTCTTTGAAAAAAAAAGCAAAAAACAGCACATATGTACATATTTTGACTGGTTTATGTATAAATTTCTGGGATGTAGAACAAACACTATCAATATAGTCAAGAAAAAGGGTGAGTTACCTATTTCCAACCCCATAAAAACAAATGGGTGACAACTGGCAAAGAACTCATAGTATGGGCTCCAGTGTGGACAAGAATTGAGACCTGACAGCACAGACTCTAACAAGACCAAGAGGTTATGAGATGACCCTTCCTGCCAGGTCTGATAAGAACCCTCCTCTTGAGTTGGAGAGATGGCTCAGCAGTTAAGAGCACTGTCTGCTTCTACAGAAGACCCAGGTTCAATTCTTAGTACCCATATGGCTGCTAACAACAATAACTCCAGTTTGAGGGGATCTGACACCCCCTCTGAACTCTGAAATGACTACACCACATGGGTGCACTTACATGCAGGCAATATACTCATACACACACACACAAAAATAATCAAGTCGGGCATGGTGGCGCATGCCTTTAATCCCAGCGGATCTCTGTGAGTTCAAGGCCACCCTGGTCTACATAGTGAGTTCCAGGACAGCTGGGGCCATAGGGAGACCCTGTCTCAAAAAGACCAAATAATAATAATAATAATAAATAAATAAATAACATGTGTGGGT